TCTACAATTCCTTTCTTCCACATAAAGCTAGTGTAGCTGAGCCTCTTCACAGGCTATTAGACAAACAAGCAGTGTGGCAATGGTCACAAACACAGGAGGCTAGTTTCAATGAGGTCAAGGCCTTACTCACTTCTAACAGTGTACTTGCACACTTCAATGAGTCCCTTCCTGTGTGCATTGCTTGTGATGCTTCTCCTTATGGGGTAGGAGCTGTACTAAGCCACCTCAGGGCAGATGGAACTCAGGTTCCTGTTGCATACTACTCCAGAACCTTGTCTTTTGCTGAGCGTAATTATGCTCAAATAGACAGGGAGGCTTTAGCTGTGGTTGCTGGAATTAAAAAATTCCATGATTTCTTGTATGGCAGGCATTTCACGTTCTTCACTGACCATAAGCCTCTGCTGGGACTGTTTACCACACGTAAACAAACTCCCCAAATCATTTCCCCTAGAATGCTTAGGTGGTCTATTTTTCTGTCTGCATATGATTTTTCCTTACTCCACAAGCCTGGGAAAGTAATGGGCCATGCTGATGGCCTCAGTAGATTGCCCCTGCCAGTAGTAGAAGCTGACCCTGCGCCAGCTGTCAACATTCTATCCATCCAAGTCTTGCCCGAGTCCCCTCTGAATGCCAGGGATGTCGCCGCTGAAACAGGCACAGATCACACACTTTCACGTGTCCTTTCTTGGGTTTTGTCTGGATGGCCTGATCACTGCCCTAGTCCTGAGTTTCAGAGTTTCTGGTCCAAAAGGAACGAGTTGTCCACTTCTCAGGGTTGTCTGCTTTGGGGAAACAGAGTTGTCATTCCCACCTCAATGAGGACTAGGATCTTAGAGTCCCTCCATGAGGGTCATCCTGGCATTGTTCGCATGAAGGCCGTTGCGCGCAGCCACTTGTGGTGGCCTGGTTTAGATAAGGACATTGAGGCTAAGGTGCATGCATGCCACTGTGCCAGCGCTCTCGCCCAGAGATGCCCCAAGCTCCTGTGCATAGATGGGAGGATACACAGTCCCCATGGTCTAGGGTGCACATTGACTACGCTGGGCCCTTTCAGGGCCAGTTTTTCTTGGTCCTCGTTGACAGTCATTCAAAATGGCTTGAGGTTGTACCTGTCTCATCCACCACCACTGCAAAGATTATTCAGGTACTGAGGGGGATTTTTGCTGCACACGGGCTCCCAGACGTCATCGTCTCTGACAATGGCCCTCAATTTACTTCCTCCGAATTCCAAGCTTTCTTACAGGCTAACATGATTCATCATGCCACGTCTGCACCCTTCCACCCGTCCACCAACGGTATGGCTGAACGCATGGTCCGCATCACAAAGGACGCCTTGAAAAGACTCACCTATGGGGACTGGCATCACAGGTTGGCTGACTTTCTCCTTTCTTACTGCACCACACCGTCCACTTCTATAGGGAGAAGCCCAGCTGAACTTCGCTGGGGGTGCAAACTTACTACGAAGCTTGACCAGTTGCATCCGGTCAGACTGCCTTCGTCTACCTCACATCCTAGGGCACCTAGACAACTACTTGTGGGTGCCCCGGTTTGGACTCGCAATTACGGGCCTGGTCATACATGGGTCCCCGCTTCTATTTCCAGGGTCACAGGTCCTCTATCCTACGAGGTAGCCCTGGACAACGATCGTGTCCTGCGTCGGCACATCGACCAACTCCGCCCTAGGCGGGATCTTCCAGATGAGACTCCTGGGCCTTTTCCAGGGGGGGAGGGGGACCCTTTAGAGCAAAGGGAGGGGCACGAGCTGCTGCCCACCTCCAATCATGGAGCCACAAATGGCCCATTCCAAGATTCCGCGAGTACCCCAAACAGGAATTCTAAGAGCCTATCCAACTACCAGGCATTCACGCCTACTCCAGCCAAGGAGTCACCCCGGGGGTACAATCACTATTCACCTGCACAGCACAGTACTCCAGTCAGGGAGGATACCCGGGAGCATCCCAATAAATCATACCCCGCAAGAGAGCTGGCACATAATCCCCAGAGTTGGCCTGACCTTACCCCCAGTCCTACAGGGGGTCAAACTTACAGGGAGGTGGTCGAGGAACCAAGTCCCGACCGCAACACCTCTAGCCCAAATCAGGGAGTAACTGAGTTTTGGGAAGGTACAGAGACCCACACGAGCCCGGACACAGAACGGGGCTTAGGGATTGGATAGCCTCCTGACAGGTCTTGGACAGACCTAGGAGGTTCTATAGAGACGCCCAGCAGTGGCTATCATTTCAAGGGGCCCGAGGGCCTACAGTTAGGCAGGTCAATCAGGTCACAAAGTGACAGAAGCCCTGGCCTGACGAGCCGGGTGGGCGAGCAAGCAGGCCAGGCATCGGGGCACAGTCCTTGGAAGGCACCAAGGCATGATAAGGAGAACAGGCTCATGTCTCCCCTCAGTCAGGAAACACCTGTCAGAAACCCAGAGCTGAGAAGGTCACAGAGAGCAAGGAAATCTCCTAAATACTTAGAGGATTACATAACATTGCTGGCCAAACAAAAGCCAGTAAACAGTAGGAGCACTGGGTAGTAGAACACTGCATCAAGAAATAATTGTATGTTGGTAGTAGTCTTAGCCCGGGGGAAAGGGGTGTTATGTCCCGAGCCTTGCAAACGGGCTCGGGGCGTTTGCAGGCAGTCCCGGGCAGGTGCAAGCTGCCCGGGACCAGACAGGCTGTTGCCAGCGCCTGTGCGCATGCGCGGGTGCTGGCGCGGGAAAAGTAACACATTGACCCGGGAATTGCCTATATAGGAGGCTGGGAGGTTTTGGGCGTTGCTGAAGCCTTCACTTGTAAGCTGAACACAGAATAAAAGGAAACCTGAGAACTACAACTGCTTCTCGCGTCTGCTTTTCGCCAAGGACTCAACAACAACCATCTACTCTCTTCCACATGGAGATTTTTTTCTACTTTACTCACCAGACTGAATACAGTACCTGCAAAACAGGACCTTTTAAGAACAGCAGGAGAAATAGGATTATTTGTAGTCCTGCCTCTTTAAACTCAGTGGTACGTTTGGGAGCCCATTAGTCAAGCTTAACCCAATAATACAAGCATCCAAATGCTTGCTATAAAGTAATGTAGCATTAGCATTAGCAATAGAGCACAGCCAACTTTTCATTTTGCAAGCATTGGCCCTTAGAGGCCTATTTGTTAAGGTATAAGAAAGGATCTGGACTGAGTCAAGCCATGCTCAGCTTTGTCCTGTATCAGCTATTTCAGAGGCCCCCAACCTTTTGGGCATCAGGGACTGGTGCCATGGAGAAAGGTTTTCCATGGACCAGAGGGGGTGTGGTTTTGAATACTGCCTGCATCCCGAGGATGGAGCTTTGCTTGTTTGTGTGGCCTGCTTGCTGGCATGCTGTGAACCAGTGCTGGTCCACAGACCGGGAGTTGGGGACCCCTGAGCTATTTCATAGCCCTGCTATACTTAGTTGAATGTCTTATGCTAGAGAAATGGACTTGACTCATGTCACATCCTTCTCTAGGCCTGATAAGTACACTATTATAGATAGTGAAAAGTCAGCTTTTTTGATCTGGTAAGATTTCCTAGCCTTTGTATAGCCTTTGTTTACACTATCCCAATAAATTTTCACTGAAGTGGCAAAGCCTACTATCCAGATCTTATCTATTCCATGAAGCTTGCTTTAGAATAAAGACACTGACCTCACATATTAATTATATTTTTCCATGACCACAGAATAAATGAATGACTGCTGCTCACATTTGTATTTTCCCAATGAAAAAGCCAAGCTACTTTTGGAAACTATGTCAAACAGTTAATATTTGGCTTGATTTATTTTTAGAGTGGTGTTGTGGCATCTTTCAGACAAATGTGTATAATACAAGACAGCTTTGAAAAGATGTCTAGGACTATTGTTTTAGGTGTTTATAATGTTAATTTTATAACTAAAGGCACTGCTATTTTTATCCTTCTGAAAGCACTGAAAAAAAAAAAAACACAAAGGCGGTGGGTATTACCCTCACAGTGGTATTGGTATTATCTGATAATAGATTGTATACAATTTTCTTATTGATAATCATATCAGAGCATTACAGATAGTTCACCTCCAAAAACTATTGCCTAGAGCTGGATTACTATAAACTTAGCATTGCTGAACACAGATTTACTTCCGTTCATGAACTGTGATAATACATATTCTGGATATGATTTTATTATAGATTTTATTACATAAATAGCATTATGTCTTTTAAAAGCCATATTTCATAGTGCATTTATGACTGTCACAAGAAGAGTTACATCATAGAATAAGCCTCAATGACATACTAGAAGGAAAATCGCCTGGCTCTTCACTTGCTTCAAAAATATTTTTAACAAGGCAAAAATGCTCTTTATCGGTAAAAGGTCTAATACAAACAAATTAATTTGTTTTTAGATTTATCCAAAGATTAGATTTGTCCGATTTATCCAAATTTGATTAGGGAAATTGTATTTAGAGTCTATAGTTCTAATACCCATAAGGCTATTTCCATATAACCGTGAATAATGTTTCCTTTCTATTTATTTTATACAATCTTTGTGTGTTGTAGTTCTTCAAGTCAATCTAGATTTCTGGAAACTACATACAACCGTATGGCAACATTTGTGGAACCAGTCTGACAGTACCATCTTCTCTGGGCTAAGAGAGAGTGACCAATCCAAAGTGACCATTATAATTTCAAGCTTTCTTAGCCTTTTAACTACTATATCAAACTGATTCTCCACATACAATCTTGGCATGTACAAATCACATCAAACAAACTGATGGATGGAACACAGAATATACAATAGGGTTGGAAGGGACTTTGAAGGTGTTGTAGATCAACTTCCTGCTCAAGGAGACCCTATGCCATTCCAGACAGATGGCTGTCCAATCTCTTCTTGAAAACCTCCAGTAATGGAGCGCCCCCAACTTCCTTGTTGTAAGCCGTTCCACTGATTGATTGTTTTCACTGTCAGGAAATTTGTCCTTAGTTCTAGGTTCACTCTCTCTTTAATGATCTTCCACCTGTTACTTTTTGTCCTCCCTTGGGTACTTTGGAGAATAGGTCAACCCCCTCATCTCTGTGACAGCCTCTCAAGTACTGGAAGACTGCCATCGTATCTCCCTTAGTCCTCTTTATTAGACTAGGCACACCTAGTTCCTTCAATCATATGGTTTAGCCTCCAGACTCTTTATCATCTTTGTTACTCTTCTCTGCACCCTTTATCACGAATGTTTCCACAGATTATTCTTTTTGTTGACAAGCTTACCTTTAAGGGGAAAACTATTGATTTTACACAATGTGACAAACACTCAAAAAGCTGCCCAACTAATTGAGAATAATGTACTGTTTTTACCTTATTTGCAACACAACAAGAATATGGGACTCCACAGGCTAATGGTCCTGGAGCAGAGCAATCATGATATTGATTTTGTGACCAATCTTTAAAATCTTCACCACCACAACACTTAAACTTTAAAAGAAAAGGGTATTAATTATAAAGTAGCATACATAGCATTGTTGCAGAATGTAAACATTCCTCATTTAAAAATCATGATCCAATCAAGAAAAAAAATCTGTTAACAATGAAATTATTGCCTATATGATAGGCAATAATCTTCAAATACAATTTTGGAAAAGATTCTATAGGGAAATAGGGCCTTAAGATTTGATTTGAGTAATCTAGTTAAATCCCAAACTACTGTATACTTCCAAGGTTAGTGATTAAAGAGTATATTGTGTGTGTTTTGCTTATGTCTGTGTACATATATATGTACAAATATATGCAAGAAGAAATTTGCTGAATCATAAAGAAAAAGGATGTGAGTTAGCTTGAATTTTAAAAATAGCAACATTAAGGTCAAAAATAAAGAAATGTGAAAAATTAAATGGTTAAAAAATTCTTAAAGGTCTTTGAAAATCCCAATGCATATGTGAATCCTAGCATAAACACAGAAAAAAAAATGTGAGACTTGGAAAGCAGTAAAATGGTATAAATACTATTTATTTTTTCTTCAAAAGAAAGATTGACATTGTTTTTTTTAATTTAATTGTTTTTAAAAATGTAATGTAATGTAATGTAATTAATATAATATAATATAATATAATATAATATAAGCTTCTCCACACCTTACATTCATTCCATTCAGCTTGTGTTCCAATGTATCTATATGATCACAGGGGATTTCATTATCATCTACATATATGATGCCTCTCTAGATGTTTTTATTTCATTAAGCTTCTCAGCGGCTTAGAGAAAAATAACCTAATTCAAACATTTATGAGAATTTAACAGCCTATTTCCTTCACTAAGAATTTCAGGTTTCAACAAACTTATTATTGATCAAAAAAATTCAGCTCAAGCCAGGATTTCATTCTATTGAATTCAGTGGGTTTTATTACAGATCAGATGTGCTTACAATTATATTGTAAATTGTAATACTGTAGTGTAAATGATTAACAAATAAATCTCCATTCTTTGATAGTCTTTTATCATAATTTTATCATAATGTCATAATTTTATTATGGTAATGTGTCACTCTTACAGACATATTCTTAATATCTAATAGATTATTACTATAGTATTGCATTGAAACAGAGAAGGGAAATTTCCAGTGATCCCTTTTCTAACCCTGCCTGAGAAAGAACTCCCCACCCCATCCACTATTTCTACAGCAGTGGCACTAGAAAGGGTGAGGAAGAATTTTCTCTATACAGCTACAGACCAGAGTTAGCAAAATCAGTGGGAAAGCTATACATAGTTAAATATAAACTATATATTACAAGGAAGAAAGCCACACAAGCACCCGAGTTTTATAACTGATGTATACATCAGAGATGAAATACGGTGTATGAGTCAAGCCCAACATAAACTAACAGAGATTATCATGGTTGGAAGGAGCTGGATAAAATATGTTTTTCTTTCTTTTTCTGCTGATGGCTTCTATTCGTAGTCAACTAATGTCACCCTTAATTTTATTATGAGTTCAGTAGATATTGCTCATGGATGGATGAGCAGCAGAAATGGCCTGCAGTTCTGGCAGAATTCCACAAAAGCTTTTAAACATTTTACTATCAAATGAAGTTTGTTTTTCTGAATGTACACCATAATACAATGTATTATGATCTGAAATGAAAGACAGGCACCATTTTTGAAACCTTGTGTGCAATCACCAACATCTCACAAGCTCTCCTGAAAGAATACAAAAATCTAGCATGTCTCTCCTGAATTTCTGGCAACTTTGAAGCCATCTGCGGGGGAAAATATTGTCGACCGCTAGAATATTAATGAATCTATAGCAGTTTGGGCAAGGTTGAGTTGATACTGAAAAACAAACCTCCTTTTGAACAAAATCCATAATGTTTTTGAAGTCCAAGTCATCATAGTAATTCTGAATTCCTCTTCCGATATTCTCATTTAAAAACTCAATTGTCTTTAAAAGGAAAAAGAAGTAAAAGAAAAACAAGTCAGCATACAATCATAGAAAGCTGAATACATTAGTTGACGATACAGCTTCTTGGAGGCAGCTATATAATCATATCTTTTCATCAAAATAACCCAAGCTCCATCCCTTTCGTATGTGTGATGTCCCAATGCAGGTACAAAAGGGGTGGAGCTTACAATGCAACAGCACAACCTTGTTTTCATCATTTGCACCCCTCAAACACCTCTGTTTATGTGCCTCTCCCAAGGTCTCCTGATCTCTTCCCTATTTTATAGGGTGTCACAAAGTTAATATGGCAGCCATAACCATATGATCAATCCCTGTGACCAAACTTTTTGATCAAACATCAACAAGGGCAGGACTTTGACCACATGGTTACAGTTTCCATTATGAGTGTTTTGATCCCCCCCTTCCTAGAGATACCCATGCTTGCTGTGTAGAGAAGGAAAAGTAACAATAATACTGTAAAATAGCACAATCAAAAGGCTGCCTGGCCTTGATATGAAATAAAGTAGAAACTATTTTAATGAAATCATTAAATAAATCACCAAAGCTACAAATGAAAGATATTGAAGGACAGGAGCTTAATGTGTTACATAACAAGTATCAAAGAGAAAATAGTAAAGTTTCTATTATTCTAATAGAAGTAGGTTTGTTTATTAAACTGTTATTACATCACATTGCTTTTGTCTTAGAAAAATGACAATATTATATTAGATTTAATTCAATAAATTACTGAAGGAAAGCAATAACTGGTAATTTTATAGGCAAATAAGTGACTTGCCAAATTAGCTTGACCAAACTGTAGAAAAATCATGAATTACTCCTATTTGACAAACAGCCAGTTCAATGAAGTGGTTAAAGGTACCGGACTAGAAACTGGGAGACTGGGAATTCTAGTCCCGCCTTAGCCATAAGGCCAAGTGACTTTGGACCAGTCAGTCTCTCTCAGCCTGAGGAAGCAGGCAATGGCAAACCACTTCTGAAAAAACCTTGCCAAAAAAACTGCAGACTTATCCACACAGTCACTAGGAATCAACACTGACTCAAAAGCATAAACAAAACACTCCTACAAAATGATGGTTTTTAGAGATTTTCTAGATGATGTTCTCATGCAATAATTCTTGGTATTCATGTAATATTCATGATATAACTAACTAAATAACTCATCTGCTTCTGCTATTAGACAAGTTTAATTCATCCAACTGAACTGTTTTTCCTCTTCTTCACTGTGTTTCATGGAATATAGTTGCAAAGTGAAAATTTTCAGTTATGGTGGTGATACATCCTAAAGTTACTCTGCAGGGTGGACCTGCAAGTGTCCTGCTTCCCTTATAATTTCTCATTTTCCAGCTAGATATCTTGCAGCCAGTTTCCATCCTGCTAATTTATCTAGAGCTGGAATGGGCAACTATGTGCTCTGTACTACCTTTACGACTGTTAACTTCAACTCCCAGAAATCCTGAACCAGCATGGCTCAGGAATTCTGGGAGTTGAAGTCCACAGGTCGTAAACGAGGCCAATTGCCCACCCCTAATCTAGAGTGAGTAGATCACATGGCCTCATTATATCAAATTAACTTGATATATGTATGGTGCTATGAGTAGTCATTTCTTTGCCAGCTTCTTTAACCACTCCCTATGGACTGCTGTTGGACAAAAAAAATCATTTTTAATATTCAGAGAAGACTGTTCCTGTTCAGAAGACAGTGTGTTTCCAGTGTAATAGTACCCAACATACAAAGCTGATTTCAATTTGGGGGACTATCAGATATTTCAATCATTAATTTTAAGTTTGAAAACTGCTACCTTTTAAAAATTACATTAGAGAAATGACACATTTATGATACTCAATTATCAATATTTCACTGATACAACAGATCCATCAATATTTTAATACATGAAAATACTATCAATTATAAAAGAACAGTTTTCAAAGCTCATAAAGTTTCCAGATGAAAATATTCTAAAGAGTTAAAGACTATGCAAGGGAAAAAGACAACTTTATAATGCCAAAAGAGTTTAAACAGATGCTTGCATTCTGTTATGACAGGAAGGCACACAGGATATTGTATTAGATACTGGTTCCAACTTCCAAAGAAATTAATTTTTCTATACTTCATGGTTATCAAGATAGTTAAAAATATGTCAGAGAGCGAGAAGGATTAATGTAAACTACTCTGACTGGGATAACATCAAATGCAAAGTAATAAACATTGCAGAATAAATTGTACAAAATGAAAAACAATTAAGTGCTTGGTTTGCAGAATATGTAGATTGTCAGAATACAGTTTGTGAAGTGCTTTCTCAGAGCCAAATATAATTGACCCCTGCATCTGGCATATTCTTCTGTAACTTGGCCATGACTGCACATCCTCTTACTTCAGACATTTAAGTTTTAAATTGTACATATTTAATTAGTACATGTTACTTAGAATTGGTCTTCACTGCAGACATTTCTCACAAAATTTTTGTTAATAATAAACATACATGCAATTTAATTAATAATGTTAATATCTTAATGTTATGCAGGATCCAGACTCTTTTTTTAACTTAACTTTATGGTTAATTTGGCAAAGCATTTTCTTACCTTATTTCGGAAAATTAAGGCCATAACTCCACCAATTAGTTCAATGAGCAAACAAAAGCCCAAAATGTACATAAACTGCAAAAGAAGGATTTAAAAAAAAATATTACATAAAACTTGCACAGCCCAAGAGCCTTAGTTTTGAAATGATGAATGTTTACTTTTACAATAGTTAATTAGAATAACTTTCAGAACAATTGGAGATGAGCTTAGTGTACTTGAGTTCTCACCAAAAATGTCTATCGGGTTGAAACTCTATCTGGTTTCCATGTTACAAACCTATCTAATTACAATATGTACAAAAATCACAAAAGTCACCACAAATTTGTCTCCACAAAAGTTTGATAAGTACTAATCAGTTTTTCCCTATGCCTGATTGAAAAAACAAATTCTCATCCTATAATTTCCTTTTCAAATTAAATTTAATCTTTATTAAAAGAGATTTCTGAATGTTTAAAATCATCATCATGAAATTTAGTTAATAATGTTACTATTACACTTGTTCAATTCCAATTCTGATCTCTGTCACTAGGCTAACAAAATGTTAATAATACTTCTAGTCATAAAGGGTTAATTGACACTATAACATAATTAAATTCAAACTTATTTTTCATTTCAATTTAAATTATTAATAAGTAAACACATAATTTACCTCAAAATAATTAGTTTTGTTAAGGAATTGAACAACATTCTAGCATGAAAGAATGAAAGACTCTTGCTCAGATTTCTAAGAAAGATGTGTATCTAGACCTGGTGTCTTCAAACTTGGCCCTTTTATGATTTGTGGACTTTCAAAATTCCTCAGCCAGCATGCCTGGCTGAGGAATTCTGGGAGTTGAAGTCCACAAGTCATAAAAAACCAAGTTTGAAGACCCCTGATCTAGACTGTAGTATTTTGAATGGTCTTGATTTGTTTTTTAACATTACACTATGCAAGCATATTTATTTATTTATTAAATTTATTTGCCGCCCATCTCGCTGTGAGGTTACTCTGAGCAGCTTACAACAGTAAATATGTAAAATTATAAAAAATGTACACATAACAATAGTAATACAATGAAACAATAAAATAAACAATGAAAATGCAGCAATATGAATTAAAAGACAGGCAGAGAAGGAGCAGGATGCACAGGAGGGAGTAGATTAAATATGGGTTAACTATTAATTAAGAATAAAGGCCTTGAAAGGCCTGAATTTTCTTAAATGAATTTTACTTTTGTACTTCCATTTAGCTCTTTTTTTAAAAGCATTTTTTCCCAGATGCCTATCAGGAATCATAAAAACTGCTTTGTTGACAGACTTGACATGAGCCAACAACGACTCACTGAAATTTCTTTCTGCTACTTCTGAAGGAAGTGATTAGACGAGTTTTCTTAAAACTGTTTATAGACAGGGAAATGAAATCGTTTTAGAAGGGTCAAGGAAAATAGGCTTCTACTTAAATAAAAAATACTTACAGTTTGAAGAAGGCATAAATTGTCCCTCAGAGAAGCCAATACTCCCAGAAAGGACACAAGGAACATTACGATGCCCAAGAGAATAAGGATGATCGCTGGAGCTAAGAAGGCACTTTCAAGGGTTTTATATTTCTGTCTTTCAACTTCTGCATAAATGCCTACAGCTAAGACAAACGCCCCTAGCAACTGCAACAGAAAAAAAGGGGGGGATGCTGTATGCTTACAAATTACAAATTCTGTGCATTTCATTAATAACTAAGTGAAGGACATTTGAAGAGAATCACTAATCCAAAGCCGAGACCGGAAACAATCACTGTTGACTCAAAAAGAGCAAAAAGCTTTGATATTCTTGGTGGTAAAATGAGCATATTTTGTCTCTTTTAGGTTAATACACATAACAAAAACATTATTACTGAACTGTTTGTAGGTCGATCAATGCAACTGATAATAAGATAATCACTCTCTTGAAAGACCCCAAGTTCTTCACAAATAAATAATAATGACATGAGTGAGTGACATTGATATACATTTTTGCAAGTATCTTCAATACCAGGCAAATAATTTTGATTTTGTGGACCCCTGAGAGGTTTTCAGGGGACCCCAAGATCGGTCAAACCACACTTTAAGAAACACTGTTCTAGATCAAACTTTCCCAAACTTTTTACCTTCAAGAAATCCATGAAATAATTATCAGGGAACCCATACATAAAATTGATTATATCTATAATTTACAATATATTAAACATTAAAAAACAATGTTTTTAAATCATTGTATCTCAAGGAAAACATATTGACTTCAATCCCAATTGAGAAAGACTATTCTAGATATTTTAAACAATTTTATATTCTTATAATCTAAGTCACTAACTGATTTCTTGGAAAAAAATGAGGAAGTTGCAATGATCAGAATGAATATGGCTTGAAAGATGTGCTTAAGAGGCCAGAAACTTACAAAACAACTATACTGTTGTGGGAAGTCAGCCCCCACCCCTACCCCGAGAAAGAAATATTTTGGAGGATATTAAAAAGGCAGAATATATTTCTCAAAGGAATAATGGAAATCTTTAGGCAGAAACCACCCCCCACTCCCCGAAGTTTCCCTGCCCCAAGCAGAGGCCAGGTCTGTAGAAATCTTTCAGAAAGATTGGAGCCAGGAAGCTTAGAACTGATGGGCTTAGAAAGACAAAAGATCCCTAGAATCAACAACCCTGTCACCCAAAAAATCCAACACAGGATGTAGTCATCAGCCACAGCCATAGGGAAGCAGGATATGACCTTGGGACATAATAGGATTAACCCACCATCATTAGAATACCAGAAAGGGCACACTCAGACTCAGGTCAAAGTACATGACACAGGAAATACAAAGCCTCAAACAGGAACAACTCCAAACACAAAAGCCCAAAAAGGTATAAAAAACCACCACTCCCAGCTACATGTGGTCAGCTGCTCCAGAGCCTGTTTTGTGGTTCTGCTCTTCAATAAACTACGATCTTCTTTCTAAAGCAGCCTACATTTTGTTTATTCCCAACTTGGACTGGACCCTGATGAAGATTTTTCTTTCAACACTATATACCAACAGATGGAATCAGCTTATTTTCAATTGCAATATTGTATAGTATTTTATGAAATGTATAAACATTAAGGGAACTTGACCAGGTTTCCCATTCCAAAGTCATCTGGATTCATAATAAAAAATTAAGTTGGGTTTAAATAAATTTATCTGATTAGGTAAGGTTACAAGAATGTAATTGGAATAAGTTAATTTACTTTTATTTTTTGCAAGCCTGCAATGCTCAAAAGGAACTAACTATCATCTCACCATTCCCTGGTCAGCTGGTAATAAAGAGTACCTCATCAAGTTCCCTCAGATTTCTGCCCAAAAAAACCAAATCCCTCCGCCCTCTGCTTTGAAAAACAAACGGTAGGAGAAAAAGAGGCAGAGCCTGAGCGGGGAGGGAGTCAAAAGAGGAATCAGTCTGAAGTCCTTACGTTGCCACAAGTGATCCAAGTCCAGTCCTCCCCTTGAATTCCGTTAACTCTTATCTAATGCCAATTTAGTGCTGACCATTAGTTGACTAGATTCTTGCATATAATGTGAGCAATAAATCTTCTTAACTAGAACTTAACATGCGGTCTTGATTCTTTGCACATGACACAAACCTCAAACAAGCATTTTGGAGCTTGTTTAAGATGACAAGTATCTCCTATCCTCTACATTCTGGCCTCTTTACCCTGTCCTGATTTCCTGTTTCCAGGCTTCGATACTGGGATCCAGAGCGTGGTGATACAGATAGTCCTCAACTTACAATCATTCATTTAGTGACCACTTGAAGTTACAGTGGCACTGAAAAATGACTTATGACCATTTTTCACACTTATGACCACTGCAGCATCCCCATGGTCACTTGATTAAAATTAAGATGCTTCGCAACTGGCATGTATTTATGATCGTTGCATTGTCCCAGGTTCATGTGATCATCACTGCGACCTTCTGACAAGCAAATTCAATGGGGAAGTCAGGTTCACTTATTAACCCTGTTACTGACTTAATAACTGCAGTGATTTACTTAGCAAAAAATGGGGCAAAACTCACTTAACAACAGTCTTGCTTAGCAACATAAATTTTGGACTCAGTTGTGGTCATAAGGCAAGGACTACCTGTAGTCTGGTATCCACTCTAATGACCATCCAGGCTACACAGTGGCAACACAACTTTTGCATGAACGCTTACTATCTGAAAATGGTTTTCCTTGAGATATGTTTGAATATTAGTAGCTTAGGTTAGCAGTTGGGCTGTTGGTTTGATCTCCAAGCTTGGCAATTTGGCTGCAAATGTTTCGCCTCCATTCAGGGGACATCTTCAGTGCGCTTTGAATTGTGCTCGACCGTCAGAGCATTGGCCATTAAATACCTTTGTGTGTGATGTAAATTGGTGTGGGTGTTATTAGTCCGGATGTTTCTGAGTCATGGTCTGGTTTCAGGCTGTTTGATTGGCTTGTTGTTGTTCTGGGCCATAGTTTTTGGTGTTTGGGTATCGTCTGATATGATGCAAATGGCGTTTGCTCGTTTGGTTGACTCTGAGTCATGATCTGGTTTCGGGTTGTTTGGCTGGCTGGCTGGCTGTTGTTGAGGCATGGTCTGGTTTCTTGTGGAGAGTTGTGATTTTTGTTGCTGTTTGCTGGGGTGCCTCTTTGTTCATTTTAAATGATGCCTTCAGGATTGCGGTTGAAGTATTTCTTTCGTTCTCAGTGGTTGGTAGACTGGGTCGATGTCAATGTGTCTGTTTATTGACTTATTGATGGAGAGCCAGGCTTCAAGGAATTCTCTTTCTCCCCTTGATTTCGCTTGCATTACAACTGTGGTCCCAGTTAGATCAAACTTGTGTCCTTCTGTCTTCGTGGACGGACATGAAGGATAGTAGGTCATGTCTTTTGATAGCCAAGAAATGTTTGTGCAGTCTGGTAGATAGCTTTCTTCCTGTTTGTACCACATAGTTCTTTTTCACAGTTGCTGCACTGGATTCAGTATATGATGCCTGATTTTTGGTTTGTTTCTGTCTCCTCCTTACGTTTTGACAGGGTATGTCTGAGAGTTGAGGCTGATTTGTGGACTACTGTGAGGTCATATTGGCATACTTCCACAGCAACCACTCCAAATGCCACAAACAAAGCTGCATCAGAACACTGTTCGAGAAAGCAGAATTCCATTGCAACACCAGGGACGCCAGATCAACAGAACAAAAATGTTGTGTCCTGAGCTGTCCAGGACCAGACTGAGTGGTGCCAGCCTATGTGCATGCACAAGGGCGAAAGCGCGCCATTCTTTATTACCTTTTTGCCCGGGGATTCTATTTAGAGGCAGAGAGGCCTGCGAGCCTCTGAGTTGTGTCGGAGAGAGCTGAAGAGAATAAAGGCTGTTACAACCATCAGAATGTGTGCTCTTCTTTCGCCATTGACTCGAGGACTCAACACTGGCAACGAAGGTGGGATCGCTTACAAGAAAGAAGACTTGTAAGGCTTACCCAAGGAGTCCTGGAGAAAGGAAGACGGCGTTAAACTCAGCACCTGGCCTGCCAGTACAGTGTCGCTGGAGGTAAGCTGGCTGATAGACCCCTTCCTAGAATAAGAAGCAAGGATGGCGAAGATAGGAAGATTGTCTGAATTCGATGTTACTCACCCAGAAAGATGGGAGTCTTATGTCGCTAGAGTAGAAAATTACTTTAGAGTGAATCAAGTTAGAGAAGATGGCTTGAAGGCCGCTACTTTGCTGTGTGTCTGTGGTCAAGATGCATTTGAGATTGCAGAAAATTTGGCAGCCCCTGCTCCTCTTGAGTCTGTCACTTATACAGACTTAAAGAAGTTATTGAAGGAACATTTTCAGCCCAAGTTGCTGTCATAGCATGAAGGCACAGATCAAAGAGTTGGTGAATCAGCCAAAGAATACATTGCAGCTTTGAGAAGAGCAGCTAAGCCCTGTGATTTTAAAGATTTAGAAGAAAGGCTGAGAGACCGATTTGTATGCAGGTTAAGGAACAGAGATTTGCAACAGAGACTCTTTGCAAAAGAAGACATTTCTTTCCAAGATGCCTTGAGAGAGGTCACTGCAGAGGAGGCAGCAGGTGGGGCAGTCAAGAACATGAGGCCCATCAGGAACAACCCAGAAGCAGTCTCCGTGCACCATGAGGGAGTCCATGAGAGCTCGGAGGAAGATCCTGAAGAAGAGGTGGATCATCTCTACCCAGCCAAAGAAAGGAAGCAGAAGGAAGGCAAAGAAAAGGCTACAGCTATGTCCAAGTGCTTCGGGTGTGGAGGTCGCCACAAGAGGGCCGACTGCAGGTTCCGTTCTGCAATCTGTACAGCGTGTGGAAGGCAAGGCCACATAGCATCTGTTTGTCTGGGCCATCAGAAGGCACAACCTTGAGAAGAATTGCGTCTGAAAGGTACCAGGGTCCCCAGCCAAAACAGGGTGGGTTTCTGCGCATCACACAGGAGTATTTGTAGAACAGGCACACACAAACCACTTAAGAAGAAACTGTCACTTAAGGTGAGGTTACAAGGAGTTCCATTGGTTATGGGACTGGGCACTGGGTCTGCTCTTTCAATCATTTCTATTCACACTTTCAGGAAGATTTGTAATAGCAGTGGGTTCCAGGCCAAACTTAGGCCTTCCAATATAATCTTAAA